TGTCATGACAATAATATCTAATCACATATGTATAGAAGTCAAGAGGCTCTCAGCAAATGATGCCTCACCCATTGCCATGGAGTAGATCCAGTTCAGGGGTCCATAGGACAGAGAAGAACTACCCCACCAGCTCTGTAAGGCTGTCATTCCTATGCACGCAGCCCATCACGTCGTTTTCCTATTGAAGTGCTAGTGAGTTTGGACCAATGACCTTTTGGTTAGCGGCCAAATGCTTTAAACCACTGAGCCACTAGGACTCCTGAGCAAGTGCTGAGGGATTCCAGAATATTCCCACATGCTGTCTGAAAGACGCTCAGTTCTGTTATATAAAAGAGCAACTCAAAGATCTGAATGGATTCATCGTGGAGAGGGCAGAACAAGGCTGTGCCCAAGGCCAGCAAACTGGCTGGAAACAACCAACCTCCATTTAGCCACAGACTGATGCCTGCGTGCACTGGACACTGTGCTGGGCAGAGAGGACATGGGCCCAGGACCCTGGTCCTTGGAACTTGCATTCTAGTGAGAAGGCAAGTGGTGAACAAATACACAAACACACAGCTTTAGAAACTTATGAAATGGGTTCTACCTGACGAGACTGGAGAAAGGAACCCCAGAACCCAGAGGCTGGACTCTGGATGTTGGGACAACTGCCTTGAACAACAACCCAGGAGTCCGAGAGCTAATAGGGCTTCACTTTACGGCAGCAGCAACCCAGTCCAGACAAGGAGGGGGCCCACCTGTGGTCACCTAACAAGTCGGATCCTCAAGTCTGCACTGAGTGTTTTTAAAGGGCCGCTGACCACGGAGGGCCCAAGGGCATCTCGCGGGGCAGGAACTTACCACGGAGTCGAGGAACTGAATGTAACACTCCAGCCCCCGCCTGGTCTCGCAGAACTGCCGGAACAGCAGCCTCCCGATCGGCTGCTTGTCACATAAACTGCAGTAATCTCTGTCTGGAGACAAGAAGAGAGAGAGTGTGGTGAGACCTTGGGGAGAGAGGCCATGGTCAACCCATCAGCCCATGCTTGATCCAGGAGCTGGTGTTGGGAGCAAGGGATCTGCAAGGCCCCAGGACCTCGTCGTGACCTCACAGGCTCGAGGCTAAGGCAAGGCTTGTCAGCGCAGAAGAACCTACTTCCCAGTGTCCACTCCCCACCAACACCTGAGTTCTGTTTGGAGAAGCCAGCTGCTCTGGGGGTTGTGACCGCTGCCTGACCCCATCACATTCCCTTGGCCACAGCAACTGGACAAGGTTAGAAGACATGTAACCACTCATCTATCATTTTGTCATGATCTGGTGGCTTGGATATTGCTGTGACGCTGGAAACTATATTTCAAATACCAGCAGGATGAGCTGAGGTAGGCAGAGTTCAGCAGAACATCCAATGGAGCACAGTATACTGGCCCAAGCCTTTAACTCGCTTAATTCAGATGTGTCATCAGGAAGAAGTGACCGCCGGTGGAGGACATCACCTTTGGAGAAGTGGAGGGCCCGTGAAGGTAAGGAAGACTTTCCATGAGGTGGACTGACACATTGGCTCCGAGTGGACTCAAGTATACCAATGGTCATGAAGATGGTGCAGGACCAGGGCCTTTCATTCTCAGGCACCAGGCTGCTGTGAATCTGAGCTGATTCTATGACAGATGACCATGCAATGACGAGGAGGGCTGTGTCCAGTTAGAGTGAACCGGAAAGCCAGGGTCTTAGGCCACAGTTTAACACTTCTGAGGAAATCACTAAGGGGAAGGGCTGACATGCAGAGGCGGTCAGGGCCGGGAGAAGGGCTAGCACGTTAAGGCAGGCAGGGCTGGGACAGTTACAAGAAGTGACGCTGGTGTCATGGTGACGTCATGAACTCTGGACCAAACCATGCCTGCAGTCCAAACCACATCTGAAAAGCTTACTTAGGGGATAACACAGTCTCTTTCTGAAAGGAAGTTTGAGATGAAAAAAAAATTATTACTTGTAACTCAAAGCATCCTAACAGATACAGTTAAAAGAGAGAGAGAGAGAATATCCTTCTCAATTTTGCCCAATTGCCAAGCTGGAGCAAAGCCCAGATTTGGATGCTTCAGATGATGAAAATCCTGCATTGTCCAGCTGAGGTAGTGGAGGCATGGAGCCAGGAAACACCCTGCCCTCGCCACGCAGGAACCTAGAAGGTTCCAAAGAGGAAACACAGCACAAGAGCCCAAGCCCAGAGAGAATGTTCCAACGGCTGACTTGTTGGGTGCCTATGAACTGCCCACTAACCCATTTCAGCTCCCAGTTTCTACCTCAGAAAAAAAACTATGGGACTTAGGCGGAGGTGAGACTCCCTTTGGGCTCTCCTCATTTGACACCAAAGTCTCAGCCAAAAGTTGTCACCAATATTGGGCTTTAACACGGTGGCTTTGGGTGACTTGGCAGGGAGAAGCGGAAGAGGGTGAGTAAGCCCTCAGAAGGTGAACTCCTTGGACAGAAGGAATGGCTCCTTCCTTATTGAGTGTGGGTTACCAGCCAGCCCAGAGTTCATTCACTCCCCCTCAGGAAGGTTGGTGATGGGCGGTGCGATGTCAGGTGCCATCAAGTCCAGTATGACTCACAGCCACCCCATGGGCAGCAGCACACCTGAACCCTGTCCTGTCCTGTGCACCTTCAAGCTCTCCGGTCACTCGATCCCAGGCCACTGCTGCAGTCACTGGGTCAACCCATCCGGCTGAAGGTCTTCCTCTCCACCTCTCCACACATGATGTCCCTCTCCAAGGAACATCCAGCCCTTCCTAACAACATGCCCAAGGCATGTGAGACGAAGCTTCAGCATCCCTGCCTCCAAGGAGCACTGGGGCTGTACTTTCTCCAAGTGTGAGGCGAGTTCAAATCCCAGCCTCACTTGCTCAACGTATGACCTGGACAAGTGACTTGGTTCTCCTGTGTCTCAGTCTCCTCCTCTGTAAATTGAGAATAGTAATCAAACTAACTTCCTGTGGCTGCCAGGAGGAATAAATAATAGACCCTGAATGAGATGGACCAATACAGTGAGTGGAACAACGGGTTTGAGCATGGTGGAGGTCGTGAGCATGGTGCAGACGAGAGCAAGACTCCGATCTGCTGTCCACTGGGTCACGATGGGCCGACTCAATGGCATCTCGCGTTATGCCTATAAAGTACTCAGACAAGAGCTTCTTGCTGCAGGTGCCGAGGAGTCGGTTCCGACTCTCACTGACCACATACGACAGAATGAAAGCGGTCCGGTCCTGCTCGTCCTCAGAATCATTGGTCTCTTTCAGCCCATCGTTGTAGCCATGGCACCAATCCACCTCACCGTGAGCCTGACGACCCTCTACACTACTAAACATGATGTCCTTTTCCAGAGACCGGCCCCTCCTCATAGCATGGCCAAAGTACGGGAGATAAACCGCCCTAGGGAGCTCTGCTGGCCTAGTGGCAAGAAGCCACGCTCCAATTCCAAAGGTGTACGGTTCGAATCTACCAGATGCTCTGCTGGAGGAGGGGCAATCTCCTCCTGTGCTAGTCAGATCTGATTTGCGCATGCATGTGTAAACACACGTGCGTATGTACGCGCACGCGCACACACTCTCTTTCTCTCTCTCTCCTCTCTGTCTCTCTCACCCAGTCTCTCTCGCTCCTCTCTCTCTTTCTCCCCCATCTCTCTCTCCTCTGTCTCTCTCTCTCTCCCCCCTTCCCCTCTCCTCCCCTTCTCTCCCCTCCCCTCCTCTTTTCTCCTCTCTCCTCTCTCTCATTATCCTTGTTTTTCCAGAACTTTCAGGCTGCACTTCCAAGATAGGTTGGTCGGTTCGATCAGCTCTCTACGATACACTCAATACTCTTCATACACATCATAATCAAACGCACCAATTCTTTGGTCTTCTTCATTGTATGGTTTGGCACATGGGGAATATTTAATAAAATACTGCTGGATCAAGAACATGGGGGTTTCAGCCTGTCCCGAGTAAGTTCCTTTGGGGCACCCCTTCTCCAAGTTGTTAAGAGCCCAGTTCCAGCCTTCTAGTACTAAGGAAGCTTATGCCTCCCAAGCCCCAAGAGGGTACATGACTCAGTCCCAGCCAACCAGAGCTCTCTCTCCTAGTCACAGTGACTGGTTCAGAGACGGGCACATGCCTTGAGCTGGGCCACTTAGCAGTCATTCCAGGGCTTTTGTCAGAGCTTGCTGGAAAGAGGCTTGGCCCCTTGGAGAGGCCTGAGGACCCGTGTACCAGACCCCACAGGGACTCCCAGCACACAGGCACACAGGGCCCAGTGGAGAAGCAGGATCCTGGCCTGTGACTATTCTTGAGCCCTTCTTGGCCCTGACTCTGTCTGTGTCACTTTAGTCCCCAGCACTGAACTGCCATCCATTGTGGCCGAGAGAGGCATGCAGAATGGGGAGCTGGAGAACCTATTTTTCTTTTCTGGGGTCAACTGTCTGAGGGGGTGTTGTTCTTGACATTCATCAGCTTGCAGTACAGTGAGGATAAGGAATCCCAAAATTTCTCCTATGTTCCTGGGTGGAAATGTGCATCAATGGGAACAAGTCTGTTTCTAAGTCCCTGGGCAGTGTAAACTGTTATCATGGTGGCTGGAAAGGTTGGGAGTTCGTGTCCACTCAGAAGTATGCTGGAAGAAAGGCATGCCGGCCTCCTTCCAAAAGATGTTGCCACTTAAAGAAACCTGATAGAAAACAGCTCTGTCCTGACTCCCATGTGGTCCCTGTGAGTCGGAATCTACTCCAGGACAACCGGCTGCACCTCTTCAGCCTGGTCCCAAGTGGTTTGGGGCTGAAATTGGCCTTGGACTCTTAACTCTTCAGCTGTGGGTGAGGCTCACCTTCCACACACAGATGGTCCAACAATCATTTAAGCTGCCTCACATGTGCCAGGGTCTGAGGGCCTGCGGGGGCAGTGGGCCATGGTCCCAGCCCTCAGGGAGCCTGGACTCGGATGGAAAGGACAGCAAGAGTGTGCGTGGGCGAGCAGACAAGAGCCCGAGTGACAGGGAGGAAAGGTCAAGTGAGATGAGTGTTCCCGTCAGGCGCCGTGGGGAATCTGGGAGGAGGAAGCTGGAGGGTGGCTGGTCTCTGCGGCCTGTGACAGGTCTGTCCCCCGCACCTGTTAGCGCCATGCCTTGCTGTGTTCTCACTGCCTCCCACTCAACCTGGTTCCCCGAGGAGAGGAAAACAAAACCACCTCGTCCTTTCCCCATCGGCCAAGCTCCTCCAACACACACAGAGATGAATTACCCAGGGTAAAAGACCTCGTGTCAAATTCCGGGTCTATTAATTACGGGCAAGCATGTACATTCTTGCCAGTGCTCGAAGCAGTAAGACTTCACGGAGAAGCTGATTCCTTCAAGGCTCATCTGACAGCCTGTGCTCCTCCATATGGTGTTCACTGTCAGTGTGGAAACAAGGCAGTGATATGCACGCAGTGCAGTAAACACCTTGTGATCCCACACAAGCTGTCAGCAGCCCCGTTCCGGGCTCCTCCCCAGTGACAGAGGCGCCCAGGAAGAGAAAGGACAGGACATCAACTATTCAGAGTCTTGTCTCAAAAAGCCTAACTGGGCCCACCTTCGAAAGACACCACCGCAGCCTCGAGCCGCCGTCTGCAGTTCTCTCAGAGATGGGGAAGGAGGTGGTGACAACTTCCCGGGGCTGCCACGACAAAACAGCTTGAGTGGGCGGCTTTCAAGCACAGAAATGTCTTGTCTCACAGTTTTGGAGGCAAGGCCACGGTGTCAGCCATGTTGCTTCCTGCTGCGACTCTGAGGGACAATGGGTTCCAGACCTTTCTCCCACCTTTGGGGGCCCCCGGACATTCTTTGCTTGGTGCCACTGCCACGTGGTGGTCTTGCCACGCCTCATCCTTCCAGGGGCATCGCTCAGGTGGGGTTAGGATCGACTCACGGCTCTACAGCCTCATGCTAACTACTCACCTCCCCAAAGACCCAATT